ACTGCCTCAAAATGCAAATGACCAAATTTGCGATGAAAATCGTGAATACATTCTGCATGCAAACTTTTGTTAGAACCTGCAATGCAACAAGTGTCATCCTGCACCACATCATCATAATACAAAACAAACAAATGATCAACATATTCTGCATGCAATACATAATCATTTTTCTTTGTGATGATGCACTTCTTGTTCTTGAAGGAAACGTCAATGTTCCGCTCATTCAGCTGTCCAACGCTGAGCAGATTATGTTTGGCGTCTGGCACGTAAAGCACATTCTGTATCGATAAGTCCAAACTGTGAAGAACAACAGTTCCGTAGCCTTTGCTGGGAATAGTGTGGTCATCCGCCTGGTGAATCGCACCTTCCTGCGGTGTAAAAGACACAAACAGTTTCTTATCGTTGCACATGTGGTGGGTGGCCGCTGAATCAACAACGAAGAAAGATCTAGACGTCTTCTGGACCTCTGCAACCTTTGGAGTGAAGCGTGAAACCATAGCCTTGTGCTGCGTTGTCCTAGACACCGGACCTTTGCCTTTGCCTCGGCCTTTTCCGCGCGATGAGCTTCGCTGCGCTGCTCTGTCTTGGCCCTGGGATGTCTGCATTCCCTCTTCATATGGCCTAGACGTCCACACGAGTAGCATTTCACTGCCTCCAAAGCTTTGGCGCCATCTGGTGGTTCCACTGCACTATGGGATGACGTCTGTGAAGACTCTCCTTGCCCAGGCAGCTAGCACCCCGGCGATCTGCTTCATTTAAAATCACGGCAGTAACAAAGTCCACTGTCAGCTGAGCAGGTGGTTGCACAGCAATCTGGGTTGCAACAGACTCCCAACCTGAACCCAAAGATTGTAGTATCATGAAAGAATACACAGCCTCTGGAAAGTTGAGTCCTCTCTGTTGCAGCTCATGTCTCAGATTTTGCATCTGCATCAGATGTAAACGCACATCTCCACCTTCAGCAAGAGCCATATCGTGCAGCTTGTTAAAGTAATACATAGTGGATCCAGCTTCTGTCCTTAAGTGAGCCTCTCTCAGAGCGTCCCAAATTTCTCTGGCTGAGGTCTTATCACGCAATAGACAGAGCTCTTCTGGGGATACTATCAATGTAAGAGTTCCCCTTGCTTTGGAATCCTTAGCTTCCCATGCATCTGTAACTGGAACTGGGGGGGGTTCCTGTAATCACCTCAAACAAACCCTCTTTCCGCAGAATTGCCTCTGCATACTGAACCCAGTCGCTGTAATTTTTCTTGTTGAGCTTAGGAATCCCACAAGCATCCTGAAGGGCCATCATGACTCTGGCATTAGCCTTCAGCGTCATATCTATGCTGCTTTAAATCTTGCTGCGTCACTGCTGCAGCTGCCTCATTACAAAGGCACACTTAAAAGTTACTTTCGATTTCCCCAGCATAGTGACTTGTGCCTGGGAGCCTTTGCCTATTCCCGGCAAAACCGGCTTTAAAAGTTCAAAGTCCAGCCATAAAGCCATTAACTTGAAGCTGGCAGGCTGCCCGGAGCAGTAGCACATACCTCATCAATCACTTCTACGCGCAGAGCAGATTCCTTTCCGATCCGTCCTCTGCATTCCGATCCTCTGCCGGCACTCCGATTCGACCTCTGGGCCCATAACCACGTGTTGATTTAAAGCAGAGTCTCTTGTGCCCAGCGGAAGGATGAGGAAAATGTGTTACATACTCTATATTGCTTTATTTACAGTTCAAAGCTGGTATATTACAGAAAGACATCTTGCCTCTGCAGGAGCAGAAAAATGCATCCTCTCTCCTCGACAGCCCGGAGAGAATCACAGTGAAAAACAGGAAACCAGTGTACGTCACATCCAGTCTCCCTTTCCCGTGAGAAACTCCAACAGTAACTCTGACTGTGGAATGCAAAACAATGTCTTGTGACTGCAGTTGCTGCTCAGTGAGGGAAATAGAAACCAACATATATGTGGTTATGTGTGGGTTGATTGTGCATACACCCAGGGCCGGATTTAGGTTTGATGAGGCCCTAAGCTACTGAAGGTAATGGGGCCCTTTATATGTCCAGCTGTCCTTTGTGAACAAGAAATTGTGTTGAATATACGCTATATGGTAATTTATGGACCTAAGGTAAAGGTAAAGGGACCCCTGACCATTAGGTCCAGTCGTGACCGACTCTGGGGTTGCGGCGCTCATCTTGCTTTATTGGCCGAGGGAGCCGGCGTACAGCTTCTGGGTCATGTGGCCAGCATGACAAAGCCGCTTCCGGCGAACCAGAGCAGCGCACGGAAACACCGTTTACCTTCCCGCTGGAGCGGTACCTGTTTATCTACTTGCACTTCATGCTTTCGAACTGCTAGGTTGGCAGGAGCAGGGAACGAACAACGGGAGCTCACCCCGTCGCGGGGATTCGAACCGCCGACCTTCTGATCGGCAGGTCCTAGGCTCTGTGGTTTAACCCACAGCGCCACCCACGTCCCATTTAGGGACCTAATAGGTATCTAAAGCCATTTGCACGTAACAAAATATGTATTTTATCAAAGTAATTGTTGAAAAAAAAATATTTACATTTTTGGGGGGCCCCAAGAGAGTGGGGCCCTAAGCTATAGATTCTTTAGCTTATACGTAAATCCGGCACTGCATACACCTGTATAGTGGCGCTTGACTACAACCCCAGAATCTTAAACGGCAAGAGGCCTGCAGATGTGCAGGGGTTAATGCTGTTGACAGTCCAGATGAATTCAATGTGCATGGAGCCCAGCGGAGTCTCCATCCAAGCCGAATGCCTATAACATACGTATAATTAAAATTTCAAGCAGGGTGCTTTGGTGATAGGCATGGGCTGACCCTTCCTTTCTTGAGCAATTTCGCACCTGCAAATTTGGATTGCGACTCACAGCAGGGCCCAAACGGAGGAAGGTGCGAGATGAGCGTCAAGCGTCGCGGTGGACTTTGTCATCACAAGCAGAGCGCTTGCTTTCATTGTAACCGTGCTGCCAGGGAGGACAAAGGAGAATGATCAGTGAATGTCAGGGCTGCAAAGGAGGTTAACTTGGAAGTTAGCTTTTCAGGTAAAGGTAAAGGGACCCCTGACCATTAGGTCCAGTCGCGGACGACTCTGGGGTTGCAGCGCTCATCTCGCTTTACTGACCGAGGGAGCCGGCGTACAGCTTCCGGGTCGTGTGGCCAGCATGACTAAGCCGCTTCTGGCAAAACCAGAGCAGCGCACGGAAATGCCATTTACCTTCCCACTGGAGCGGTACCTATTTATCTACTTGCACTTTGACGTGCTTTCAAACTGCTAGGTTGGCAGGAGCAGGGACCGAGCAACAGGAGCTCACCCCGTCACAGAGATTTGAACCGCCGACCTTCTGATCGGCAAGCCCTAGGCTCTGTGGTTTAACCCACAGCGCCACCCGTGTCCCAGCTTTTCAGGTAGAAACCATTAATGCAGCTGCAGCTCAGGGGATTAGATCTGTTCCAGATGTTCATTTGAAACTCCACCTATTCTGGTTTTGTAGAAGCTGAGCTACACCCATGCTGCGATCCACCAGCTGCACAGGAATGGCATGGAATATAAACTAAAAGCAGAATCCAGTCTTCCTAAAAGTCTCTCTTTTTTCCTAAGGCTAAGTTTCTGTGAATGTGACCAACATGTTTTGAAAGTATATTGCGATAAGCCACAGTGCTTCTGGGGTGTGAGGATGCCTGTCTACCTCCCCATTGCAGCGGCTCTTTGCTTCTTGATGCTTCTGTTCAGAGGCCTTAACACCTGTGGTGGCTATTCTGGGGTAAAAAAAACCACCAGTTCTTTGCTATCTCATGAGGGGGCGGGAGGTGGGTTACCTCCTTGAACTGCAAGAAGAAGAAAAACTTTAAAATGGTTGCTAGTTAAAAGAAAGAGAAGGGAGCTTTCTTATGTTAATAGATGCTAGTGTGGTCTGTGCTAAAATACTGAGGGGAAGTGTCAGTATTGAAAGAATGGTTATTAAAAATTAAGGAATTTATCTGCTGTGAGCAAAATTGTGTAAAGGGAGGATAGCAAAAGAAAAGAAATAAATAAACCAATTTGGAGACTGTGTTGGTATTTTTAAAATATTGAACTGCCATTAAGAATAGCTGTTCTCCTTTCTTATAAAAGAAATGCAGTTTTGAGCTTTAGAAATATTTTGATTACCTTTTTATTTCTTTTTTTCTGTTTAGTCAAACATTTTGCAATTGTGTTTGGACTCGGAGATTGTGTGTATGTGTGTGTGGATATATACCCTCAAACAAGAAAATTAAAATGTGAATCAAATTACCTCCTTTAAAATCACCTTTTCGGTTGTCTGGAGCTTATATGATGGAGCCGGCCTATTCAGATGGAAGCCAAACGGAAATGTTGTGAAGATGAAAGCATTTTAAAATCCCTGGCTTGATTTTTAATTTTCAAAAGCGATATTGCTGGAACGTGCTACCAATCCCTGGTGACATTTAGGGAAACGAGTTTTCGGGAACTACTTCAGTAGCTCGGGGTGGTTGATATTCCTATGTTTCATGGCTGTTTTGAAAAAGATCACAAAGGTTTTAGGAAATTAAGAGGCAGGAAACTTACTGGCAGAGGGTTATTTGCTGGGTTGTCTTTTTTTATTTTAGGACAACACAGGGAGAAAATGATGTGATGGGAGAGAGCTTTCCCCGTTTATCTATGGAGGAGGAAACCTCCAGATGCTTCTGTACTACAACTCCCATCATCCCTGACCATTAGCCATGCAGGCAGGCATCTGATGGGAATCAGAGCACAGCAACATCTGGAATGCCACAGGTTCCTCACCTGTGGAATTATCTGTTGCATTCCTGCCAAGGCCAGCAGAAAGTATGGGGGAGACAGTGGAACAGCGCCAGCGCATACCCCTAAACGTTTTGTGAATTTAAATTTGGCCTCATTGAGGGGCAGTATTTCAACATGAGTAGGAACATGAGAGTGCCCCTAAACATTTTTTAATAATAATAATGTAATATATTATTTATATATTTTTTAAATGATATTTATTAAAGTTTCACAAAGAAAGAATCACATCAACATAAAAAGAAAAATTCAAGAATAAAAAGAAAAATACACAATGCAATATACAAAAAGGAAAAAAAAAACAGTTAAAAACAATTCCCTCTTTTCATCACTACTTTTACATTTACTTGTTTCCCGGACCTCCTCATACCTCCCTCTTTTGTATTCCAATTCAGTTTGTTAGTCCAGCAATTCCTTTCCCTCCTTTTTAATCCCAATCCTTAATCTTAATATAATATAACATTAAATTTTTACCTATTAAAAACCAATTTTTCCATTCTTTTAACCTTTTTAATCCTAATCCTTAATCTTGATATATTTATAACTTTAAAGCCTGTACAGCTAGAAGCCACTTAATTTCAATCTAACATCACTCTAACATTCATTAATTTTGCAATATTTCTGTAAATAATCTTTGAATTTCTTCCAATCTTCTTCCACCGACTCTTCTCCCTGGTCACGGATTCTGCCAGTCATTTCCGCCAATTCCATGTAGTCCATCATTTTCATCTGCCATTCCTCCAGTGTGGGTAGCTCTTGTGTCTTCCAATACTTTGCGATGAGTATTCTTGCTGCTGTTGTAGCATACATAAAGAAAGTTCTATCCTTTTTAACACCGGTTGGCCGACTATGCCCAGGAGAAAGGCCTCTGGTTTCTTCAAGAAGGTATATTTAAATACCTTTTTTAATTCATTATATATCATCTCCCAGAAAGCCTTAATCTTTGGGCACGTCCACCAAAGGTGAAAAAATGTACCTCCAGTTTCTTTACATTTCCAACATTTATTATCAGGCAAATGGTAGATTTTTGCAAGCTTAACTGGGGTTATGTACCACCTGTATATCATTTTCATAATATTCTCTCTTAGGGCATTACATGCCGTAAACTTCATACCTGTGGTCCATAACTGTTCCCAGTCAGCGAACATGATGTTATGTCCAACATCTTGTGCCCATTTAATCATAGCAGATTTCACCGTTTCATCCTGAGTGTTCCATTTCAGCAGCAAGTTATACATTCTTGACAAATTCTTAGTTTAGGGTTCTAACAGTTCTGTTTCTAATTTTGATTTTTCCACCTGAAAGCCAATTTTCTTATCCAAATTGTATGCCTCCATTATCTGATAATAATGAAGCCAGTCTTGCACTTTGTTTTTTTAGTTTTTCAAAACTCTGCAATTTCAATCTGTCTCCATCTTGTTCCAAAATTTCCCAATATTTTGGCCATTTGACCTCTATATT